ATAATGTATATAAAAAAAAATTCAAAAAAAATTTGTAGATAATCATTAATTTTGAAATTTGAAGCTATAAATACCTTTATACTTTACATTTTAAATAGTTCATTTTTAAACTCTAAATCATTTCATAAAAAAAACTACTGATACTTTATAATTGTCAATTGTATACACTTAAAATCATTTTATGTTTATTTTAATATGTTGAGTAATTATTATGGGTTTTAATACTTGACATTCAAACACAATATCTACGGTTACTATAGATGCTCTTAACATTTGCAATATGGATATTATATTCGTATAAGCAATTTTGAAAATATTATMTAATTTATTATGTTTACGTAAAAGTTACARCTATACATACGTAGATATGATATAGYAAATAACTTAATAAGTAGTAACTAGTAAGTACTTACAAAATATTACAGTACACCGAGTCTGAAGTCTGRACTATTTTTAAATGCGTTGGTTTATATTTCTTTCAGTTTTTCGTATAATATCTACATTATGATAATATTAGTATCTAAGATTTCGTTTTTTGGGTAATTATTTGGGTGTTTAACTTTTATTTTGTACTTGTAATAGCACCTAGCGTGCTGAAACATTTTAGTAACAATAAGCGAAAAAAAACTTTTATTTTGATTCATTAAAATATAATTTAAATTTAAAAGTTGATCTAGTCAGAAACAAAAATCACAAACGTAAGGAATCTTGATAAAAATGTCCACGAAATATATTATCGAGGTAAACTATTGTCCAAAATATGTTTTTTGTACAAAGTTAATAAAAATCCAAAATTGGAAAAATATACATATGAAATAGATTATTAACTAAAAATGTATCTACAACAATGGCTCATATTTTAAAAATAAACAATTATTATCTGTTTGTTAATATAGTTTAAAGTAGTTTTTAACATTTTAACTAAAAACTTTATTATGATTTATGACATTTAAAATACATTTAAAATACTGGTTTTCAAAAATTAAAAAATTCTATAATTAAATGATATTACTTCCTTGAAATTTATTAAGGTCAATGATGGACATTTAAAAAAAATGCCCATACTCCTTYATTATTTTTATACATTACACATAACTTTTCTTACAAGTCAACATACGTATTTAATTTTTTGCTGTATGTTGTCCAATTTCTCTTTGACCTAATTCGACTAATTAATATAAATTAACAAACTACCCAATTTTCTCTTTCATTTTGTATTTTGATACTTTTATTTTATTTATTTTGTTGTTTTTTTCGGCACTTTTTACATAGGATAATTTTTGTATGTTAATTTTGCAAAATCCATGGTACAGACTTTCGCATAATATATAATCCAGCCATAATCGCTTACAAAACTATGTACATACTTACCATACTATCAAATATAACTTGAGTTTAACTAATGTTGGTATCTCGATAATGCCACATCCATATGTTAAAATTTATTGCTTATAAAATATAATGTAGGTACGCTTGCAATTTTCATAAATATATTCAAATTCTTTCCTTACGCACCACGCTCGGTTTCTTCGTAAGTATGATAATAGCATAATTGTGTTACCTATTATAAATTTATATTATAATGTAACTAAATTGGAATTATAAGTATACATATATAGGTGTTATTTTATAACAGCAAACATCGCGCGCAAATACTAGAAAGTTTTATACGCCTCTACATGTAACAAGCCGAAGCCAGATTATTTGAATTCCGATTATATTATACGCGCATTCACCAGTAAAACAAATTCCGCCGATTGTTTTCTACTCCGTTTCACTTAAAAAAAAAAAAATAAATATAACATTAATGATAATTAGGGTTGGTGTTCGCCCGGCCACAGTAAGTTGCGTGTCGGTCGGCAGATCACGAACGGCCCGTAAACACGACGCACGGCCCGGTTTTATAATAGTTAGGTATACCGTTTACGTGTCCAGCGATGGGGTCTTTATTGCCGRCGAATTTCAGCAGTGTCTATGGTATATTATTTATTATACACACATTACATATTGACTTGAAACTATACGCGTATTGCCACAAAACTGATGGCCTTCGACTTGACCTCAGCTGTGGATATTGAATACGTTTTATTGGTGTAAACGCACCTAAAATATAATAGCCGTAATGTTTTCCTGCTACCACCGTCGTCATAATATTATACGTTGTCAGCTACCCCGAGTTCTTAATAATCACCTTCTGTACGACATACAATATATTAATTACACATTATACCTTTATATAATATTAATTATATAAACTCAAACGCTATGAAATTGCGACCAAATTAACTCTTTACCGGTTATTAGTATATAATATATTGAAAAACTATACACATCCACGACTGCTGCACGCCATACATCATATTTTGTATTCTGTGTATCATTATAACATGATGTTGATAGTCGAAAATAATAAAAATGATAAAAATTTTAATGCGAAATAATATAAATATTGAATATATATCATTATATTAAATTATTATTCGCGAGTTTATGTTAGTAGGTATAATAAATCACTGCGTGGTATAATAATAATTATACACCTACGACGTGGTTTTAAATTAGATTACTAACATATTATATTGTATGTATATATGATATAAGGCATAAGCTATATAGATAGTTACATTGGTAACACATATACATGTAGACGTATAGTTATTRGACATAGGTCATTATTGTACAACACTACAACGATTGCGGATAATAGCTATGATGTGGTGGTTGTTAAAATATATCAAAGTGCTAACATTAACGAGAGACGTATGACTAGAAGTTTGAACTTATAAACTTGAATAATTTTAAATATGACATTTTATTATACACACATTATTGTTAACGATATACTGCAGCTATATACATCATATAAGCCAATACAAATAGATATAAAAATAAATTAAATTTATGTTTGACTGCTCAGAATAATTGATATAATAAGTTATAACATCGTATAAGATATCATTTTGAAACGCTTATTATATTAATAAATAACAAATACAGTTGAAATACCTTGACTTTTATTAAAATGAAATATTGGTTAATATTCTCAGAAAAACTCCCATGATTTACGTATATTGTATATATATATATTTGTCTACTAACTGTAAATATAGGTAGTTTTAATGAAAAACCGGATACATTGATAAATGATCAATTTTTTAAAACACTATAATTTTATATTAAATATTAATATATGAGGCGTTGCGTTTTCGCAAAATCAGATACAGTCGAATAATAATGGTAATAAAATTATGTAAGAACTAGAATAATTAACGTGCTCAATACCTATATCGTAAAAAATACAAGGCATTTTCAAATATAATGTACATACATAAATCTTATTTTAATTGTAATGTGTAATGTACTTATGTGTATAACATTACATTATAATTTACTTTACTTTACTATACCCTTCTATAACAATAATAATGTTATGTAATAAGTACAAAAATATTAAATTAAGTTTTATAATTAAATACTCAAATACTCTTTAAATTTTGGTTACGACAAAAAAATGGTCAGGGCTCCCTCAAATTTCAATTTAACCGATTTTATACTGTATTAAATTGAAAATATTAAATTTGATAAATACAATATATTGGATAAAGTACCTAGGTATATTATAAAACATGTTAGTATTCTAGTATATATATCAATATAGAGATAATTGATCTATTCAGTTATTTACATAATATAGATACTAGATAAATAGGAACCTAATATAGTGCTTATGTTAATATTTCTCATAGTTGTTACGCTATTTTAGAATTATACTTAATGTTTGTTATATATATTGTATAATAAAAACCAAGTATTTCAGTATCTACATGTAATTTATATGAATTATTTGAAGCATACATTTTTGATTTTTGTATTTGTTGAATAACGAGCATAGGATTTTATTATATTATAGTATATAAATACATATGTAGTACTGTAGTAAACACTTGAAGTACAATATACAAAACTGTAAAACTCATCGATACGTTTTAAATAGTATCGAGGATGAGGATGACATTGTTTATTGTGTTCGAGCAATCATGCGTGTTTCATAATCCTCCATATAAAAAGAGTTAAATTAAATCGTTTATTCTATTGATGGTTTTAAAATGATTGTTTTTATTTTCGAGGACTGACACACGTTATTTTTTTTTTTAGTTTCTAAGCAATAAAAATAAGCTTCAGGTGTATTGTGAATTTGTCATAGTCAAATTATATTTATGTATAGGTAGATAATAAGTATTATCATTAACTATATTACTATACTCACGGGAGATTATGTTTAGTTTGAAAGTAGAATGAGATCCGTCCTCCATTTATCATATTACACACCACGCGTTTCCGCCGGTTGCACCGCAGTCTCAATACCTTGTGTCTATTCAGTAATATCGTACAATATGATGGTCTCTTTTATAGCAGACATCAAACGCCGTTAAAAAACAAATTTTTCAAAGTAAAAAAAAAAAAAAAACGATTTCTCGTAGCGCGATAGGATAATATTATTATTGTGAACGCTTAAGCTGAGGTGTTAGACCGTCGTCGGCCCCAATAGAAAACATTCATGACGGGATAACAATATATTATTAGCACGTATAGCAATGTATTATTATTACTGTCGGACAATATTTACACGGTGTGGCTCTTCGCCGGCGATCGAACGGCGAAGGAATGATTTTTGTCGGATACTCGCGGGCCGAGAGCCGCCGCGTGGTACCCGCCCACATTTATCAGGTGCGCCGCTCAACGAACGACTGTTGTTGTTATTATTATTATTATTATCATTATTGTGGTGGTAATCCGTTTGTGGCCGAAAATCCGCACAGACCAAAATTATTATCGATGGCATTCGGCACGAACGACGAACCGCAGTCGCACTCGCACAATCTATCGATCGATCGTTTGTGTTATTTATTATACGCGTCATATGGTACCTCCATCGGGTCCACAAATCTGAAGATTATCTCTGACATATTATACATACACTACTGCTATGATAATATTGTTATAGTAGTATGGATACGCGTAGTGTTTAACATTTATGTATTATATTGTTTTTTTTCTAATCTGATTAGTGATTTCGGACGAACCCTAAGCGTCTATACATTTTAAATGTAAAATATAGATATTCCATAAGACTATACCTGATATAGATACGCGATAGGTCTCGTAGTTTTGGAACCATTATTATAATCAATTTTTATACAGGTTTAAATCCGATACACTGCACCTTTATCAGTGGCGGCTTTAGAGGCAGAGCTGAAGCTTATTAACTTTTTTATGTTTTTAATTTACTTAGACATCAGATGTCGCAAGTAGAATATAAGCGTATCGATTGTAGACTATATTATATACTGAAAAAAAATAATAGGTTAATTTGTTTTTACCCCCAATGTTACTATACTTTTTGTTGTCAACACAGCATCCACCGTAAACAAATTCTTGACCCACCACCGATATTATTATTACAATAAAATATTATATGTTATATGTGATATAACATGATAAATAATAATATATTATTTTATAGTAAGCATAAAATAAAGCTATAAATTGGTTACCCTATATACTTTATAGTTTAGTATTATAATTCATAATATTATGGACTATAGTACGATGGTACTTTAATATGCGTATTTACTATTTATGATATATCACACATAAGTACCTATATAGGTACTTGTTTAAAATGTAATGCAAATAATAAGTGTACCTACCTATTGGCTATTATACTTATGTTATTGCCACTAAATAAATTATTATGAAACCGTTCATGTTTAGATCTGCAAATTTAATCATAAATCACCGATGTAGCTAGATGGGAACCTAAACGATATTCCAGCCACAAAATCATACGATAGGTACACTAGCTATTTGAGTATGGTATACATAATGTCATATATTTGTTCAAATATGAATATTTTATCACATGTTTATAACTATTTTTGTGACGAATGACGTTCGTGCGGTATACATGAGTTGAAGAAATAAAATATAATAAAATCTCACGTGAACACATTATAATAATGAACTAGTCGGGATACGATATGTACKAATGTGTACGAATGATGATGCACATTTCATTATTGTATTATTCGAAGTAAAGGTACGTTTAAGCGATTTATAAAACAAATTGTATCTAACTATATAATATTTGTATTGCTTCTTTTCAGCGTACGCCTACGGTAGACGCGTGCGGTAGTACATTTCCTTGCGAGTCTGTATTGTGCAGAGTTAACAAAGAGAGTGTCTACGCTTGTCGCTTCACTGTTTACTATTTAATTTAAATTTGTATATATAGCTAGGATATATGTATAGTCGCATAGGTACCAAATATATATCGAGGTACGCACAACGCTACAACCTATGACAATGGAGAATTATAATTTATAACTAAGCAAAACGCACGGATAGGACAAATAGACGTAAGTTCTAACAATAATAAATAATAATAGTGTTTCGAATTTTATCTCCAACCAAATATAACATGCGGATACCCAGCTTATGAAATAGGTAGGTATGTAATAATATCTTTATTTTTATTATATGTATTTTTAGTAGATTTGATTTTAAATCCTATGTACACTGTATAATATACAGTGTATATACTATATAAGACTATTTATGTGCCTATAAAATGTCGTGGCCGTTTCTCGTCGGTAAAGCAAACCTGCATATTAGTGCAATAATAAAATATCTACGCGATTATTATTACTTATTACAATACTCAGATGTCAAAAGATTTC